CATATAACCTGATAACTTTAGTCAAATGGACCCACTGAGCCCTAGGTTCATATTGACTTTAGGGAAATGTGTAAGCCTGTTTTGGTGTGCCAGTTGTCTCTGTGTCCTGACAAAACACTAAAATTTTGGGGTCAACTCAAACATAAATATGTAAATATTTTTTGTATGTGCATACCTAAACACACTCGAATTTGTAAGAAACTATATGTACACATACATCCATCCGTTATTCAATTCCTACGTTCAAAACAGTTCCGGCTCACTGGGCTTTCAGGGTCTTAGCGACTAGTAATTTGGTTTTCAGCCGGCGGTAGTAAAAAGAACCAATTGATTCGATCCGACATGGGCCTACGCAATGAAGCTTTACTCATTGATACATGCTAGCAGGCCCATAGTTCACAGGCCACGTTTAGATATTTCCTGATTTTTACAAATGTATGTGTATCTTCTAATCTGTTGTACTGTATAAAATACACCATTTTCAATTACTTCTCTTTAATTGGATACTTACTATACAGCTGTTTTATCGGATATTTTATGCACCTCATTTTACTCCCCTGATCAAACTTTTCGTAAGAGATATTCCATTTTTAGTAGGATTTCAAGATTTTTGGTAGATCTTGAATAAGAGATAGGAAATTTGCCTCACTATGCCAATGAACGTATCCTAGCTTTGCCGCCCTAAATATATTCTCATCCATGGTAAACAGCAGTTTCGACGTGACCTGGGTCTCACAGCACCCCCAACGGGAATCAGACCCAGGAAGGGCAGCGTATAAGTCTCTACACGCTGCCATGAGTGACAGTCGGCCCAGGGACAAGTGAGCTCTAAGAAGGGCCAGGCTTCTCCCATATTCCATTGCTTTGGTGGAATTATCGCTGAAGCAAACATATATTCGCCATTATAGCCGACCACCTTGTCTATATTTGTAATGAGAAACTTTTTGAAGGTATCATTAGATCTAGAATAAGAGCTTCATGCACTCTAAATAAGAGCACCTTTTGGGGAGTAAGACTTAGTGATATTCGCGAAGAAAAGTTGGGTTTCGAGGAATCTATTGTTTCTTAATTGTTGAGCTTACTTCAATTTCGAGTGAAGGTGTTGCGTGAAGAGATTCGAAGGTCGGTTCCACCAGAAGACGGCGGCTGATTCCTCTTGATCAGCTGTCGATTGGCTTTACTGGAAGATTCATGCTGACGCTGTTCCCGAGGTAATCTCCTTCGATTCCGGTGGAAAGGTCCGTCATGTGACGAACATCATCAGAGCAAGGTATCATCTTCACAACCAAATTCAAGCTAACGAGTCAAGAAAACTCACCGGCAAATCCCTAAAAAGTGGTACATACACACAACATCTGGCCTCTTTGATCGAGTATAAAGTGATTTGGTTAGTTAAGGTGATATGTCAACTTCGATGCCTGTAAGTGTGCCTGTTTCTGAACACAAACATGCACATACACATATAGAGACAGTCACACTCACAGGCCTCGAAGTTGACATATGACCTTCATTAACCAAATTACTTTATACTTT